ATAATAGTGCTTCGAACAATGATGAGGATGATGGTTTGCCCGCAACACAATTTCGGCCAATCCAGGGAAGTAGATATGGAAACAACATGCCCATCAGTGGGCAATCCCAGGATACCCAGCACATCTTGCAATGTAATTGTCATCTCGCCCTGCGGCATATGAAAAGTGTGTGTCTTTGGTCTCCATCTATCAACCAAAGCACTGATAAGGGCATCATCAATCTGAAAAACATAAGACAATTATCAATTCATAGGTTCAAATACACTAATGTACAATGAATATATTTCAACACAATAGATATGACAAAATATTATAAATACATACCTGCATATACCGCATGCGGGCAACATGTATGAATCCAGCCTGAGTCAAGTACTCGGTGACCAGGTCTGGAATATCGTCGAGCAATAGTTCCCCAGTGGGTCTACCTCATCGCCGAATCTTCAGCTCTCTTTGGGTCTCCTCGTTCCACACATCTTGTGAAACATGGGTGCGTTGTCTGCGCCTCCTAAGTATATCCCATATGTGTGGTCCAGGAAGAACATGTATCGTTAGATCCTTGGGCTCAGACTCGTACTCAAGTGCAAACCGAGGTGACTCAGTTGACTATGACTCAGCCATGGTAATATGCTACAAATTTTAAAAATATATCATAATTTATTTAATTTTAAATGATTAACATGTCTAATACAGACATAACAAATTTAATAAATACAAATAATTTTTTTTTTAATTTTTAATGCAAAGTAACTAATTATAACCTACGTCATGCGTACAATGTTCCAAGCGACTACGCATGTTAAGTCACTAACTAGGGGTGTTCGCGGTCTGGATTGGATTGATTTTAGAAGTAAAAATCATCTTATCCAATCCCTTCGGTTTAATCATGTAATCATCCATTCTGTTTGAATTTTTTTCAAATTCGATTCGATCCAATCCAATTTTATTCAGTTTGGATTGGATCGGTTTTCGATTTTTTGAAAAGCTTAAGATTTGCATGATGATTATTGTGCAAATAACATATCTTTTGTATGTATCGACTTTGTAAAATTTGTATGATGATTATTGTGCAATCTAGAAGCATTGTACGATAAAAAGATAAATTATCATCTTTTACTTCTAACAAAAAATTTATAATACGGTTGCCTGATATACGAAGTAACCCAAATTTTCATCATATAGAGGAGCTGTTGTACAACAATAACCCATGCTATAAAAATATATTATGTATCTTAAAAAAAAAAGCATAACATAAATCAAACATAACCCACTTTATCCAACATGATGAGTTAAATGGGGTTTGAATTTAGAATTTTGCTATATGATTTTTGGGCTATGATTGGGAAAAGGCCCAAGTAGGTAGATGGTATGGTTGAGGAATCATTGGATCAATTTTCACCAACCCATCCAAAAATCGATCCAATCCAATTAAATTTTGTGGATTTTTTTTCGGTTTTAAGTTTTCGGTTAATTCAATTTTTGATTTTTCGGTTCGGTCACCGCGGATTGGATCGGTTAATTAACACCCCTATCACTAACCTTGTCACTAAAGTTTTTTCTAAATCACTATTCATAATATAAGTCACTAACAATTATCAATCACTAACAATTTCCTAGGTCACTAACAATTTCCTAAGTCGCTAACAATTTCCTAAGTCAATAATATTATAACATTTCTATTGCTATAAATTAAAAATATGAAAAACAAATATTAACACTTACTTGACCGGTAGAGCTTCGCTGCATAAAAGTTTACCGCAAAACTCAAAGGGAATTCTAGAGAGAAGTTAGAGGAAAATGTTAGAGAGTAGGTTAGAATTGAAAAAAATGAGGTGAAAAAGTAAGAGTTGAGGTATTTAGATTTTAGACCTCGTTTGTATGGACGTATCAAAAAAGTCCTTTTTATGACTTCCTTATTTTAAAATTACTTTTTATAAAAGCATAGATTTTTGAAAAAATATTTGATTTTTGAAAAAAATATTTCGCTTTTTTTATGACTTATGTTTTTTTTATGACTTCTGCTTTTTTTAAAGCAGGCATCCAAACAGTCTTTTTTCGATAAGTGCTTTTTTTTCTTAAAAAAAAGCAGTTTTTCAAGAAAAAAAAACTCATCCAAACGAGCTCTAAAGGTGGAGCAAAGTGGTGCCTGGGTGAGGTGCCACTTTGCACTAGTTGCGCCTCCCTAGGGCACGACACACTGATATAGATTCGTAATTTGGTTTCAAATGACTATGTTTTTGTAATTTTTTTATTAAAAATAATAATTATTAATTTTTCCCCCAAATATAGTTAGGTAGTTTAGGAAACTAGTATTCTTTTAATTTTATTCTCGTTAGCACATGCATAGCCAATTATGGTTCCAATGCATTGCACGGATTTTTATAAATATAGTTAGAATTTTAAAAAGTAAAAACTAAAAGAGATAAGATGTTTAAAATTAAAAATAAGAATATGCATATCTAGATTGAAAGCATACTTAAATTTAAAGTTAAAATATTAAGAATAACATATGTTATTATTTGACAGAAAATAAAATAAGAAATTAAATTATTTTTAAATTATTATACTTTAATTAATATATTAGGATGAATTTAATAACTAAGGTTAGAAATTATCTTTTTATATTTATATTAAAACCTTAAATCCTTAAATATTTATATATTTATATCGACAGTGAGATTTCCTTATCAAAATTTTCATTACTCGTTCATTAAAAATCATTTATATCAATCTCATTCTTTCTTTGATTATCTAGTGTTTGGAGAATTGGAGGAACCTAGCCTCACATTTCCTCATCAGGATGGATTAAACACAAATAAGGAATAAATTAAACTTGAGATATACAATATTCTGTCTGCCCAGACCCAGTATGAACTAAAAAAGCTTTGGAAGAAGGAGGAAAAACGGAAAATTGAATAATATTTTAAGCAAGTAAAGCACATAAATCTGTAGTTGACACTTTCTAGGAACCGTACCATATATTTATATAATAATGAACGATATGAAGGGAAGCTAGCGAGAAGAATAATGTGGTGGAAAAATTGGCCAAGTCGAAAACAGAGAGACAGGAGGACACATTAGATTATACTTTACAGTGAATTATATTGTGGGATCCATGCAAATTATGGCGGGGACGGTGGTTAGGCTGAAGGATTTAGAATTTATTATTTTATATGTAACACTACTTTTTAATATTTAATAAAAACATGATACCGTATGATATATTGAATCGAAAGTAATTTAAAAATCAATAATTAAATAAATGCTAAAGTATAATCTTTAGATCTACTATATACCACCATATATTGCTTATTCATCTCCAAGCTCGAACTATATATTAATATACTGCCCTCAGGTATTATAAAACGTCACAAATATCTTCCTTCCCAAACACTGCTGTGCGAAAGGTTAACCAAGAAGAAGCAAAACACAAGAACTGAAGCTGAAGGGAAATAATTTGTTATCCTATATTTCTATCAACTATCAATGTGGCCACCGATTCGTAATAAGGACTTTTCATAACACAATATTTTTATCAATCACAGATTTTCTTTGTCCAGCAAGGTATCTCCAACTTTAACATTAAAATTAATTAAAAAAAATTGGTCAGGTGTTAGTATTATCAATAATATAGAATATAGAAATAATATAATAAAATACAGAACATTAAACATGGAATATCAACAAACATGATATGTAGGAAACTATAAACGCACAAATTATGGGTAAGATTATGTAAAAGAATAGTTTGAGAAGATGAAGAAGATAAATAGACAGAAATGGAAGAAATATATGCACAGAAGCTGGTTACCAATGAAAAATATGCTATAAACATCCTATTTATACATGAACTAAGAAGGTTTTTTGGACTTATCTTTTTTTTTTTGAGGTTACAAGGAATTGAACACAACACCCTACATTACACACACTCTTAACACACACACCCCACACCACTAGGCTAACCTAGTGGTGCTGTTTTTTGGACTTATCTTTTGTATTAAAACTTATTTTTTTAATGTTTCTAACAAAATAATCTTGGGTTCATTTGTGGGCCCAAAGATCTTTTTTTTAAAGCTAGAAACTATTTTTAAGTTAAAGCCAAAAAAGAGCTTAAAAAAGGCTAAAAACTATTTGGTAATTACATAAAAATTTTAGTTTAAAAGTTACTTAAAATCACATATTTCAATAAAAGTCTCTCTCTTTCTCTCTAATTCTTTCTTTCAAAAAAACACACAAATCAAAAAAAGCTAATAAGAGCTTAAAAAAAAGCTCCTACTAGGAGCTTTTGCCTTTTGCCTTTTTTTAATATAAAAAAGAGCTTTTTATTATAAGAGTTTTTCAAGAAACCTGTTTGGTCTAGCTTCTGCTTATAAGTAACTTTTAGCTTAAAAAGACATAATCCAAAGTGCTTGTTTGGATCATCTTTTTTTTAAGTTAGAAGCTACTTATAGAAGATAGGACAATCATGTTTTGAGAAAAGCTCATATAATGAAAAATTCTTTTTTTCATAATGAAGAAAAAAGCAAAAAGCTACTAGGAGGAGCTTTTTTTAAAACTCTTATCAGCTTTGCTCGACTTGTGTATGTTTTTTTTTTGAATGAAGTACTATTGAGATATAGAAAGTTTTCTTGAAACATGTGTTTTTATGTACTTTTTTATGTAATTACCAAATAGCTTTTAATTTTTTTTTTAAAGTATTTTTTTAGCTTTAGCGTATAAATAACTTTTAACTTAAAAATAAAGGATCTAAACAAGCTTTAAATATTATTAGTAGGCTTAATAATTTCTGATGCAGAAAATATAAATATTATTAATAACTTTAATAATTACCCAAACAAAAAGTAACGAGATATACACACATATATATATATATATATATATATATATAATAATAGTTTTTTTTTTAAAAAATAAAAAAATTCATGCTAGTTTCAAATGTGAACAGAAACTAGATATTGTAGGAGAGAGCCACACACACTAGACAACTTTTCAAACAATGGTTCTCCTTTTGTGTATAGCTTTTGAAATGTTATAATTATAATTCCCAGATGAACCCTAATTTTCATTTCCCTCTGTTCTAACTTCGAAGAGATCATCATCTTTATTATTCTTCATCGTTTTTGTTCAGCCAGTCCCATGCTCCATCTTCGCCCAAATCGGACCGCCTAGAGTATATGCACTCATTGAAACTCTGATCGGAACTGTATCCAATTTCATAGCTACGAAATTTGGGCTCGAAAATTCCCAAATTGAACATAAAAAAGGGGAGAGCTCTCGCACACCCCAGACACCCAGTGAACGATAAGGTTTAGACGTTTTCATTTTGGTTGGGTTTAATTTTGGTTTTCATTCTTCTGGTTTGATTTTAGAACAATGAAACCCTAGATTTCGTTTCAGATAATTCAAAAGATTTTTGGTTTTTGGTTTTTTTTTGTGAAAAATAATTCATAATCAGGAATTATTGGCTAAGAAAGTGGAATTTGTGATTTTTTCATCTTAGAGTTGTATAAAAGGATCTATTTGTAGAGTATCTAAATGATCATTACTTTAGAGTAAGAAATATGCACTTTATTGTCTCATTTTGTGGTACTGTTTCATCTGCCCTGTGATTTGGTATTGTGAATAGAGAAATTATGTTTTGGATTTGAGTCCCATCTTGAATTGTTAAAGGTCTTACAACTAAAGATTTGTCTTGTTCCCAGGTGAACTTACATGTAAAAAAGACCTGAATTTCATGATTATAGACGATTACTGCTACCTATTTGTGTCTAGCTTTTGAAATACTGTGAAAAGTTGAGTCATCTGTTACTCCTATAACTGATCATTGAAAGGTAACTCCTTGCTGAAAACAAAAGATTCCACTTTTCATTTTAATATTTTGTTTTTTCGTCTGTGATACTGTGTATTGGATTTTAAAGAGACAATTCAGTCTATTTCTATTTTGTAGTAGTTTTTCTTTTATTTATACAGGGTAAATTTTTTTCCTAGTTTAATTTGGAAACTCAAATGTGAGAGGAGGAATATGACAATTACAAAAATACTTCATTTCTATTGCAACTACTTGATTGACAAGTCAAATATAAGAATGGAATACAATTACTGTTAGTTTAATTTCTTATTGAGACTAAACATCATGAACTAGGATTTTACATCAGTTATTGATTGCACACTTCCTTATTAATGTTAATGTGTATTTTTATTTTTCAAAAAAATAAAAAATAAATTCCACAGTGGTAGCGAACCATGGCAGACCATCGAAATGGAAACCAAGCTACTAGTGGAAAGGCTAGTGTGGTGGGAAATTCCTATTCAATTGATCTGAATGCATTTCAAACCAGACTGAGGACTTTTTATGTACATTGGGATGAACACAAAACAGTTCTCTGGGGCTCTTCTGATGCAATAGCTGTTGCATGTCCTCCACCTTCAGAAGATCTGCGATACCTGAAATCTACTGCTCTGAACTTATGGCTACTTGGATTTGAGTTCCCTGAGACAATTATGGTCTTCATGAAGAAGCAGATCCATATCCTGTGCAGCCAAAAGAAGGCTTCTATTCTTGAATCTGTCAAAAAACCTGCCAAAGAGGCAGTTGGTGTGGATCTTGTTTTGCATGTCAAGCCTAAAAATGACGATGGAACTGCTCTAATGGATGCTATATTTCATGCCATCCGTGCTCAGTCAAAGGCTGATGGCCATGATGCTTCTACCGTTGGATACATATCGAGAGAGGCTCCTGAAGGGAAACTGCTTGAAGTGTGGGCTGATAAATTAAAAAATACAAAATTTCATCTGAATGATGTGGCCAATGGGTTGTCTTCATTGTTTGCTGTAAAGAATAATGAGGAGCTTACATCAATTAAGAGAGCTGCATACCTGACAACCAACGTGATGAAAAACTTTGTGGTTTCAAAGCTTGAGAATGTAATTGATGAAGAGAAGAAAGTTTCTCATTCTACGTTGATGGAGGAGACTGAGAAAGTTATACTGGAACCATCAAAAGTCAACTGTAAACTGAAGGCAGAGAATGTTGATATTTGTTACCCTCCAATTTTTCAGAGTGGGGGAGAGTTTGATCTCAGGCCTAGTGCGGTCAGCAATGATGAGTTACTGCATTATGACTCTGCCAGCGTGATTATATGTGCAGTTGGAGCCCGGTATAAGAGTTACTGCTCAAACATAGCTAGGACCTTCTTGATTGATGCAGACCCTCTTCAAAGTAAGGCTTATGAGGTTCTTCTGAAAGCCCATGAAACTGTCATCGGTTCTTTGAAGCCTGGAAACAAGTTGAGTGCTGTATACCAAGCTGCAGTTTCTGTGGTAGAAAAGGATGCTCCTGACTTGATTTCCTACTTGACAAAGTCTGCTGGGACAGGCATCGGTATTGAGTTTCGAGAGTCAAGTATGAATATTAATGCTAAAAGTGAGCAGATAGTAAAAGAAGGCATGGTCTTCAATGTCTCAATTGGATTTCAGAACTTGCAGAGGGAGAGCAGCAAGACTAAGAGCAAGCACTTCTCTCTGTTGCTTGCTGACACGGTCATCATCAACAAGGACAAGACAGAAGTTGTGACTTCTATGAGCTCAAAAGCTCTGAAGGATGTGGCTTATTCTTTCAATGAGGATGAGGAAGAGGAAAAGCCCAGTGCAAAAGCCAATGTCAATGGTGCAGAGCCCTTAATGTCTAAGACCACTCTAAGGTCAGATAATCATGAGATTTCAAAGGAGGAACACAGAAGACAGCATCAGGCAGAGCTTGCTCGTCAGAAAAATGAAGAAACAGCAAGGCGACTTGCTGGTGGTGGCAATGAGACAGGAGCCAACCGATCCTCCACGAGGACTTCTGCAGATCTTATGGCCTACAAAAACATAAATGACCTTCCACCTCCCAGAGAGATGATGATTCAGATCGATCAAAAAAATGAAGCAGTTCTCTTGCCTATAAATGGAAGTATGGTTCCTTTTCATGTGGCCTTCATTCGAACTGTTTCCAGCCAGCAGGACACCAACCGCAATTGCTATATCAGAATTATTTTTAACGTTCCTGGGACCCCTTTCAGTCCTCATGATCCAAACTTAATGAAGTTCCCGGGATCTATATATTTGAAGGAGGCTTCGTTCCGCTCCAAGGAACCAAAGCACATAAGTGAAGTTGTGCAGTCCATTAAATCTCTCAGGCGACAAGTTGTAGCGAGGGAGTCTGAGAGAGCTGAGAGGGCAACCTTGGTTAGTCAGGAGAAACTGCAGCTTGCAAATAATAGATATAAGCCAATAAGATTGTCTGACCTTTGGATTCGCCCTCCTTTTGGTGGGCGTGGAAGGAAGATACCTGGTACACTTGAGGCTCACGTGAATGGATTTCGTTATTCTACCACCAGGCAGGATGAGCGTGTGGACATATTGTTTGGCAACATTAAGCATGCATTCTTTCAGCCAGCAGAGAATGAAATGATTACAGTCCTGCACTTTCATCTGCACAACCATATTATGGTAGGAAACAAAAAGACAAAGGATGTTCAGTTTTATGTTGAGGTAATGGACATGGTCCAAAACGTTGGAGGCGGAAAGAGATCAGCCTATGACCCTGATGAGCTTGAAGAAGAACAACGAGAGAGAGATAGGAAGAATAAAATTAATGTAGAATTTCAAAGCTTTGTGAATCGGGTGAATGATCTTTGGGGACAAGCGCAATTCAGTGGCCTTGATCTGGAGTTTGATCAACCTCTGAGAGAACTTGGATTCCCTGGTGTACCTCATAAATCTTCTGTATTTATTGTTCCTACTTCAGCCTGCCTTGTTGAACTGATAGAGACCCCTTTCCTTGTTGTCACACTAAGTGAGATAGAGATTGTGAATCTAGAGAGAGTTGGGCTTGGGCAGAAGAACTTTGATATGACAATAGTGTTTAAGGACTTCAAACGGGATGTCCTCAGGATTGATTCTATCCCTTCTACATCACTGGATGGCATCAAGGAGTGGCTTGACACGACGGACATCAAGTATTATGAGAGCAGGCTGAATCTGAACTGGCGTCAGATCCTAAAGACAATCACGGACGACCCTCAAAGCTTCATTGAAGGTGGTGGTTGGGAGTTTCTGAATTTGGAAGCTACTGATTCAGATTCTGAGAACTCGGAGGAGTCAGACAAAGGTTACGAACCATCCGATGTGGAACCTGAATCCGATTCAGAGGAGGAAGCTTCTGACAGTGAATCACTTGTTGAATCTGAGGATGATGAGGAGGAAGAGGAGGATGATGATGGGGATTCAGAGGAAGAGAAGGGAAAGACGTGGGAAGAACTGGAGAGGGAAGCAAGCAATGCTGATAGGGAGAAAGGGAATGAGTCTGACAGCGAAGAAGAAAGGAAGAGGAGGAAGGCGAAAACTTTTGGTAAGTCACGTGCCAGTGTAAGTAGTAGCATGCGAAAGCGGGCCAAGTTAAGATAGATTTTGGTTTTTCTTCTTGGTCATTTTGCTGTTTCGTACAGTTGCTTTATGTTGTTGCTGCGGATAGCTGCTCTGAGTTTTGCGGTGTTGTCCTATGAATATCGTTGTAACTTAAGCTTTCCTTTCCCATAATATATAGTTTAGGCACTCGATAGGAATCCTTGAATCCAATGTCTGTCCATAAAGTCATCTCATGCTCTCTCGGTAGGAGGGGTGTTGGTGTTTTCCCCCCTCTACCTTAGACATTATTTGCGTCTTTTTCTTTTTCTTTTTCCCGGCTGTCTTTTATTTCATATGAAAATAGCTGAAATAAAGAATTTGAAACATGCAGCAGAAGTTGGCATACAGAACAAACTTTATTTGCTTGCAGTATTTTTTTCCCAACTTGTTTCATTGACTACCCAACTAGTTCGGTTCGAGCAGACTTATACTGAGGGCGGCTTATATTGAGGGTGGCTCTCCTAACACCATTTTTTCGATTCCCCTGACTCAAACTAAAACCTCTTATTTACCATTTGAATCTAAAATATTGTAAGCAATACGGTATTGATACTATTTTAGTTTTGATATTCTGTAATTTGTTCTTGGCTAAATAAGCTGCTAGCTGTTTTTGGTCATCACTGAGGAGATGGGAATTTGCTAAACTCCTCTCTCCTAACACCTTGAGGCCATTATTAATCCTTACCTGTATAACCTACTATTGGTAGTTTTTGTGTGAATTTGCTGAAGAAATCCACTTACTGCGTGTTATTGTTAATCTCACAACTTTGTTTTAGTAACCAAATTTTTTATTTTATATTGCATTATTCAGCAAATAAGTGATTCGTTTCAATTTATGTATGTTGTCTACAGTTGCAACATAAAATTCAATTTTCCCTATCAAGCTGGATAATTTATATTGCCGTGTCAAATTGAATTGAAGTTTGTTATGTATTTCAGCTTGTTAATGAATTATATGATAGTGTTCATTCAAGTACTAAATATAATTGTGATTTGATTTATAATGACGTTTGAACAAATAATATTATTATGAAATTGATTTTTTATTTTTATTTTTTTCACACTTACACTCAAGGTGTGGAAATAGACTAAGCCGTCTAATAGACACCTAGATCCTAGCCTGGCTTGTTTCGTAAAATAAAGCAGAGAGGGCATATATTTTCATTTATTTTTTTTTAATTAATATCCATCGGTTCATCTTTGATTATTTCGATTTCGATTCGAGTCGGGTACGAAGGATCACATAAGCAACAAAGAGGGCCTATTTATAAAATATGTTATATGTTTACTTTGAAAGGCTTGCTCCGTAAGTTTATAAGTTGGTTTATAATATATAATTTTAGAGGAAAATATTTCTGCAGTTAATGCAGATAAGTTATCTGCATTTATTTATAAAATACGTCGTCTTAGGATTGAAAAATTAAAAAATTATAATTATAAAGACTATAATAATCTTAAAATAAATTAAAATTATAAAAATATCATGATTTTCATCTCATGACGACATCGTATTGGGCTTACTGCAGGTAACTTATCTGCAGTAACTGCAGAAAAAACGAACCCATAATTTTAAATAAAATCTTTTTTAGGACCTTTAGTTTTGAAGCTAGTTTCCGTATTCTATTTGGCCATATAATTTGAGCTCCTTTTCTCTTCCCATTCTTCTTTGATCTCAAACCTACCATCCAAATGTGAAATCAGGGTGAAGGTATGGATCTTATGCACTCAAGGACAATGTATTTGATAGCGCTACGTGATCATAATTTTGATGATAACAAACAAGCTTGAAAGTGTTGATTCAAGAACAAAATGACATGTTAAAATAAAAAAGAGGTCAAAAGGCAATCCACCTTTATGTCAAGCAATGCAAATCAAAAATCTCAAGCACCAAAGTCAAGGTTCAAGCATGTAACCATGGAGCTAAATCAAATATTACATTAGAATATTAATTTAGGATTTAGAATATGATTGTAGGAGTATATGATAACTTATTGATGCATTTACAGTTAGTCCATTGCACATGGCCCAACCATTGATTCAGGAATTCCAGAGTCAATTAGAATTTTGGTCTAATAAGTATGGCTCAATTGTTAAAAGAATAAGTAATTTAAAATATAATAAATTACGATCAAATCCAACTCCGAATGAAGCAGCATATATAATTGTGATTTATTTGACAAGAAAAGGAAAGGAACACATTTTGCATGATTTGAGATCTAAGATATGAGACGTGTTTTGAATGATTTAATTGTAAATATTTATTTACTTTTAGAAGTTAATTACCTTTACTTTTATTTCAGGAATTTAGATTTTGAATTTTGGATCAATTTATAATTAGTCTATAAAAGGGTACTTATGACCCTAATTGTATGAGTTAAATTTTCTTATTTTGATAATTAAAAATTGAGAACCGGAGGGTTACTTTTTGATAAAAATCCTAATATTTTGTTTAGCCACTTTTTTCTATGCGCGTCTGGCATCATTTGGTATTAGAGCACTAGGTTGCCTTCAACCAATGGCTGAACATAATTATAGAGGTCGTCGATGGCGGAGTCATGAATGTAGGGGACGTGAATTCGTTCTTAAAGAAGACAGACAACTGTATCAGATTGACCCGCATGACATAGAAAATGAAGAGCTCGAAAGGCAGTTCCAAGATTTGAAGCAATAACTTGAACATATGTTGGACAAGAAAATCAAAGTTTTGGAGCGACTACTTGTTCGAGCACAGAGCAAGAAAATTCAAGATTTGAAGCAACAACTTATGCGGGCTCATAATGAGAAAATCCAAATTTTAAAACGACAACTTGTGGAGGCACAGAGCACGAAAATTCAAGATTCGGAGTGGTGACTTGCGCGACCAAAGTTGGGCTTCAATCTGAAGAGGGAATGAAATTAGAGGATGCATATGTTGATGAAGATGATGACGTCAATCCTTTGGGGATTCTAAACTAGGGAAGAAATTGGGGAGTACGACCTGGAGATCAATCCACCTTTCAAGATATCGAGATTCAACTCAACATTCTTAACTTTGATGTCTATGATTATAAGAAAGTTCATTTTATGATTATAATCCAGTCTATGATAAATCTTATGGAGAATCTGATGATGAAGATCTAAAAGAGAAAGAATTATCATTCGAGTTTCTACCTCAAGAGATTGATATCAGTGAAGATGAAGAAGATTCGAGGATGAATCTTTTCCTAGCATGGGAGAATGATGCACTTACAGTTGACTCATTGCACATGGCCCAACCATTAATTTAGGAAGCTCGATGTCAACTAGAATTTTGGTCCTATAAGTATGGCTCAATTGTTAAAATATAACCAATTATGATTAAATCCAACTTCAAATGAAGCAGCAGATATGATCTTGATTTGTTTGGCAAGAAAAGGAAAGCAACACATTTGGCATGATTTGAGATCTAAGATTTGAGACGTGTTTTAAATGATTTAATTATAATTATTTTTTATTTATAGAATTTAATTATCTTTATATTTATTTTAGGAATTTTCCTTATTTTTATGATTATAGATTTTAGATTTTGAATTTTGAATCAATTTGTAATTAGTCTATAAAAAAGTGTTTATGACCCTTATTGTAGGAGTTGAATTTTATTATTTTGATAATTAGAAATTGAAAACTGAATGGTTACGCTTTCATGAAAATCCTAACTTTTTGTTTAGTCATCTTTTCTATGCATTTTCAGCATCACTTACATTCTATGAGCTCAAGCATTTCCTCGTGGCATAATGAAAAAGTGCATGAAAATCTTGGACTGATAGGTAGAAAATGAATCAGAATGATTTTAACATGTTTGAGCACACAAAGATACTTGCATAGTCTAAATGCACATGATCACATTGTTGAAATGCCTTTTGAACTTAAAGAAATGTTGATTTTCCATACCCAAAAAAAATGTTGTTTTGACTACATAATGAAAAATGACTTGATTCCATCAAAATTAGTTTGGAGTGATTTTTATATGACTTCAATGCATAGAAATATGTTTTCTAGTCCAATTACATCTGTTCACTTTGCTGGAAGTCATTTTGGACCAAAAGTAATCAAATTCCATGCCAAGGTTGTTTGCTGCCATGATATTTTCAAATATATCTAGTGGTATATTCGGATACACATATCCAAACATAGGATTTTATATATCCGAGTATGCAAAGGATATAATATATATGCCCTTACCATATATTTGGATATTATGTCCAGAAAAGGTTTCAACTGTTATAAACAGTTAGTTTTTGTTGATAGCATATATTAACTCACTTATAACGGCTCCAAAAAGCATAGAATACTATTTCATCATTTCTTAATCCTTAATTCTTACACGTACTTGCTTACACTCATTGATTATATCCGTTATTGTTTATTTGATTCTTGAGCTCATTTCTTTGCTATAAAGCATATGTTCACCTAACTCTTCAAGTTGTATAATCTACACTTTGAAAGTGCTGACAAAAACATTATTTCATTATGATATTTTTTATTAAGGGCAATGAAGCTTATTATGTTTGAGAGGTAGCCAACTACTTAGGAAAATCTGGAGAGATTTATATGGTTGCAAAGTACCTGAAAACTTGGTGGTTTGTCAAACACCTGTGAAGCTTGACTAATAGTGGAAGGATTGATCGATCTGATTATAATTTGAATATAGGTCACAAGTGATGGTGATCCAACATGATACATTTTTGTTTGCATTTTTCGAAAAGTTTTCATAAAACTCAATTCATTCCTCGAGTTTTGAAGCCACGTCTAACACCAAACTCATTGCCTTCAACTCCAACAAATCTTTTCTCCATATCCCTTCACATCTTCCACAAAATTTTCCTTTGCCCAACTTAATGCAATTACTTCTCTAGGGTTTGGGTGTTAATGCCTTTCTTGTTGATGGTTTTGATGTCAAACATACAGAAAGTAGGCTAAACAAAAAAATTGATATTGAAAAGAGAAAATTCTATGTTCTTAATTATGACCATTGATAACTCACTTTAGTGAGTTATTTGAATTGAAGAAATAAATAAGTAAATTGTTTGTTGTGCTTTATTTGAAAAATTAAGGATGAAAATTGTAAAAGTAGTGGTTGGTACAATCAAGCTTTGTGATATAAAATTGGTCAATTTTGAATGATCTAATGTAAATTCTTGGCTTAACTGTAGTTCTGTCACATGGAATTTGGAGATCAAGATTGTAAAAGTTGGCATATTGTCAGTGGTTAAGCCATGCCATGTGAGTGCAAGCACATCTAAAAAGTCTGTGAAGGAATTCAAGCTAACTTTGGATGGTGGACCTGAGCTCTCATCTAACATCAGAGGAATTTGTTGCAGTGTAGTGCTTGTTACAACTCTTGATTTGGAGCTTGATACGCTTGAACTTATTTTGTTTCTTTTATCTTTCATTTTCTTCTCTAGAAACAATATACAATCTTCTATAGATTTTCATGAATTTGTGAAATAGAATATTTAGTTTGGTATCAATTCAGTTTGTTCTAGTTTTGTTTATCATGAGCTAAACACCTGAAGGATTGAGTGAAGAAAGTACCTGAAATGCTGTGTTGAAATTCTTTTCTTTTTAGGGTTCAATGTACAATCTGTCTTGGTTTGTTTAGAGGAAAGTTTGAATGTGCATCTAATTGAGATCTGGCAAATTTTAGTTAAAGGAATAGGATTTAAACAATGTGTTGTGGACTGTGCAATGTTTTGCATAACTTTTCTGGTGTTTGAAAACATCAGCCGCCATAACAAATTTAGTTAATCAGAACAAATTGCTGCATCATTCTTTGATAATTGGGATATTGATGCAATATTTGGGAAAAATAAAGCTCAATCAAATTTCTTCTTATATATTTTATTCATACCATCTTTGTAGTCATTCAATTATAGTCTCAGTACATTTTGAAGCCTCCTAGTCTCAAAGTACATTTTGAAGTCTGTTGTTGAATACCATTTACTCGTTTCAATCAAATGTTACTTGTGTGCATATATTAGAAACTTTCACTTGAATTACATTATTTGACTTTCTTTGAGGGAATGGTATCCCTCTCCCTTTTTCTATATTATTGTTGGTTGTGTACACTTGCACAATTTTGTTCTGTTGTAAATTCCACACGCACTTTAGAGCATAAACAATTATCAAAATAACGAAATATTTAAACATCCTTTTATATGGTGTTAATTAATCTCAAAACTCAATTAAATCGATTTTTTTTTTAATTTCACAAGAATTAAAAAAGTCTATAAACTCAAAAACTGACGCAGTATGACACTCGAGTCTAAGCTAACTTTAGATGCATCATGTGTTGAGATATATAGTCCAACATTGATTGGATGGGCAACTAATATGGCTTTTATAAGGCCTTGAACACTCTCATCCTTTGAGCTAGTTTTTGGGGTACTGTATCTCAAGGTTCTTTACATCATGTTACGTGAGTTATTATTTCCTTTTTTTCCTACTCGTTACCCATTTTCTACATTTATCAAAAGTCTCTCTATTTCTTATAAGAATCCTTTTAAATCTATATTCTTTAAGTTAGCTTCCAATTTGTTTTGTCACTTCTTCCTCTCTTTTTTGGTCAAAGCTGATTGGATAAATTGCTTGACATTCGAAGGGTTGGTAGTAGTGGTACCATTTTGACTTGTGAATTTTTCGTATGCTTTTATAATGCGTTTGGATAAGCTTTTATTTCTTAGAAAAATTGTTTTTTTTTAAAGGTCCTTTAGCGTAATTTTATGCATTTGGATAGTAACTTTTTAAAAAAGTAATTTAAAAAAATTAAAATAATGTTTTTTTTTAAATCAAGATTCTTTAATTTTAAAAAAAATATAAGACAAAAGTTAAATAATTTTTTAAAAAATCAATTTTACCCCAATCACATTCCACTACCATTACTACTGTCATATATCATTTTTAATAATTTTATATGTAAATAATATTTATTAATTTTAACATTCAAATTATTTTTTTATTTAAAAATATTTTTTATATATTTCATCCAAATATAAGCTTTACCTTTAAAAATTCATTCTAAAAACAACAAGCAAGTTTTCTTCTTCTTTTTTTTAAAAAAAAACTTATATTAACGAGCGATAGAGTTTGGATCAAATAGGAGGAGTTTGACCATTTTTCAAAAAATCGAAAAGCGAGCTTACTTGTGGGGCAAGGAGGAGAAAAGCTTGAATAACAAGCTAAGCTTCTCTTCCTAGGTTATTATCTTTTTTTCTTTCATTTTTGTCTTTTTGATTGACTTAACTCGCAAGTCTTTATCTTTGTTAAATTCAGTAACATTTCTGGTTACTGAAATACAAGAAAGAAGTGATCTTCACATTCTGGCCACCCCATCAAGGTATTTTCTTCTTTTAGTTCCATTCAGAAACATTTTCCCCATATGGTGTGTTCATTTTTTGCAATGATTATCATTTTTGTTTGCTAAATTATATTTCCCATTTCACATGTTTTCTCTTTCTTTCTCTCTTGGATTTTTTTTTTTTTTTTTAATTTGATCTATTGGTGTGACAAATTGGAGGTTCATAATGACATGCTCAAACTAAAATGTTTTTTTTTTTCTTCGATCAGTTTTCCTAGTCTTTGTTTTTTTGCTTTAATCAATATATGTCACCATAGTCTGCGTTAAACAAGAAAGTGATTACCTTTTTCTTTTTCTTTTTTTCCTTGTCTTTTCTCTTCCTGCTTTATTTCCTGGTAATGAAGATAAGTACGAATACTTCACATGGAAAACTTCATTCAATTTGCCCTAAATTTTAGAGAGATCTTTAGGGGGTGTTTGGTACGCGAGATTTTTGAAGAATACTGAGAAATTGAATTTTTTTAAATTTTGAATTTACAGATATGTAAAAATCATATTTTTGAAAATTGAAATTCTCGGCTAAAAAAAAATTTCTAGTGTACCAAACTCCCCGTTAGTTTCAGTGTGACTTTTGCGAAAGCTTCTTCTAACTTGATCATTTCTTTAACAAGAAAGGCCACAAGAAGTTTCTTTCAAACTTTTGAAATATACAAAGTCATTAACTTAAACAATGGATGGGTTCCTCCTTCCTAGAAGCCTTCCTATTCAATAAAATTCCACTAACCAGATTCATCTGTTTGTGGACAGGTCTTTGAGAAAGTGGTGGAAATTGTTTCTTGTCTTGAGAAGCACCATTTCGAATCAATGAACATGGACCATAAGAATTCTCGACCTGTTTGCACAACCTCTCATGATAGCAATGTGGGTCTTGTTTGCCACTATCAGTTTGAAAATGGGTCATCTCAGTTTGTGTTTTTGGATGTTGAGAATGGAAGTGGAGCTGTCCTTGACCATTCCCTCAGCTTCTTTACTGAAAACTTTGTGCAGACCCTTGCTTCTAGCAATGGCTTAATTCTCTTGTCTGGTTATAGTGGGGATCATTCCTGCTACTATGTGTTGAATCCCCTTACCAAAAACTCTGTCATGATCCCTCAAACTTGTATCGATGGTTGTGTTGTTAGAGTTGGATTAGCCTTTGATGGATGCCAATTTGAAGTTGTGCTTGTTGAAGCAGGGTCTTCCAAATCCAATGGACTAGAATTTCATATTTTCTCTTCTGACACTGGAAAATGGAGGAGACACCCTGCTATCAATTTAACTATTCCTTCTTTGCCAGAATTTGAGTTCCAAGAGCTTGGCACCCCTCCTCTTTACTCCAATGGGGCAATCCATTGGGAAATAGGTGGATATTTGCTTGTGTATCAAGTCAAAGGAAGCCATTGTGAGCTATATGAACTGCCAAATTTGTTTGAGGATTGGTCTTGGCAATCAACAATGACTCGTCGTTGTTTGTGTGAATCAGGAGACAGGGTTTACTATTGTTACACTGATTTAGATGGTTTTCACATTTGGGATCTTCTCAAGGACCATGATCATCTTAGATTCTTCTGTGCTTCCAATGATCCCAAAAAGTTTAGATGGAGATTAGTCCACACTGTCAATCATGAAGTCTTTATGTCTAAGCACCAAAACTTTTTTTATGGCAACTTATGTGACTGGGAGCCTTATAAGATTACACCAATTGCCTATAGTGAACAAGCACAGACCATATATTTGCAGCTTCCAGGAACTGTTGTTTCATACAATTTTGATACAGGAAATCTGAGATCAATCTGCACCTACTCATATCCAGGCATAAACTTCGATTGCTTCTCATTCCTTCCTTCAACTACTTTTGGGCTTCCTAATGCACAGAAAGAGAGGGACATGCTGACTAATGGAGAAACTGAGCTAAATCTACCTATAGCAGAAATTGAAAAGTTAGCCCTTTAAATCAAGTTTTGGTATAGTGATGATGATGGTGATTCTGGTACCAATAAGCTTTCATATATGCTAGTATTAATTTTCAGGTTTTGCTTTGTAAACAATTATGTGGAAGAATGTGTGTGTGTGCGCGCGCGCGCAATACACTTAAGACATGATTATCTTCTTTCATTTGTATTGAGTTTTATGTGATCTCAAGCACTTTTTCTTCTTGGTCTAACACCATTAAACATAAAAGTGTGGTCTACTGGTGCAGACATGGAATAGCCTGGGCCATTCTACGGGCCTTCCCTTTGGGCCTAAAATGGCTTGGCCTGGCCAGAAACTTCTCAGAGTAATGAGCTACTAGTGCACAAACCCTTATACAATTTGGGTTTTGTTGATGGTACAATGAGGCCATTCAAGTTTAGTACCTAGACCTAAGTTTGTCAATTGGATGGGTTGTACTGCATGAGATTAGCACATCGTTTCTGACCCAAAAGAAAAAGGATAGGAACATAATTCTAGTATTCCATGCATAATTGCACTATGAAATTTATTTTTATTTTTTTGGGGTGTGACAAATTGCATTAGGACTTTATATGAGCAAACAATATCATTATATTTAGTATTAGTATTAAAAACTAAAGAGAACAATTTAGTTAAGAGCAGTGAACATAGATGTTATTTGGAGAGTTGATATGGATCAGCCAATTAGATATATGCTACACGTGTAACATAATGTAGCCTAGTCTCTATTAACAGAATATTAACTATCATATTCCCTTAGGCCCCTATAAACTAACTTAGAGGTAGTGAGAGACTTGTTTGTCACCAACTGCATCTAATTGTATAAATTAAGAGTTCACTGAGGTCATTTACAGCCTGTTTAGATCCTCTTTTTGTATCAGTTAAAATCTAAAAACAAAATTAAAAAAAGTTAAAAACTGTTTGGTGATTATATAAAATTTTTAACTTAAAAAAAATTGATAAGAGCTTAAAAAAAAGCTTCTCCAAGGAGGTTTTGTCTTTTTTTCATTATATAAAACAATTCTTTTTATTTTAAGAGTTTTTGTAAAAATCTGTTTGACCTAGTTTCTGTTTATAAGAAGAGAGGCTTAAAAAAATTAAAAAATCCATGCAATTAGAATATAAAATACAGATAGAATACTCTCTTCTCTCTCTATATTTTTTCAGTTTCTTATATTTTGTGCACTTCTTTCATTTTCTCACTCAAAACTCAGAATCCAATAGACTCTCATTTGAATGGGCCATCAATTGATCAACCCAACTTGGCCCTATATAGGTTGGCGGACTAACGAAGTAGCCAACATAAGCAAATTAAGTTATAAAATTCATACATAAATGAGGTTTATATCTCTTCACCCAATTTTTTTTTTTGCAGCAAAGACAATAACCAAGAGAGAAAAAGTGAGATGAGAATAGAGAAAATAAAATTGGTGATCCCTACATATTTATTTTCTCTGCTGCAAATTTGTTTTGGGTGAAGTAATATAAGAGATGTAAACCCCTACATAAATACATGTAAATAATGTGCAACATAAAAAAATATATATAATATATTATTATTTTTTATTTTAATTTTTTTATCGAAATGTTTTGTATGTTGCCCTATGCCCCAGCTCGCCCTGACCCAAAAGTTGTTTAGCCTTCCATTTAAATAGGTTTTTAAATTTTAATTTACAATTACTTGAGCTAAATGGGCTAGCCCATTCGCTTGAGTCCGTTTTGACAATACTAGCATAATAGATGCAAAACAATGAATTTTAGTCCTAGCATTGCTCCGCAGCTTAATTAGTTAACTTAAATTTGATTACCATTTGAACTATAACCTTTTAGTGTGTTTTTTGATAAACCTTTTTTCTTCTTTTAAAAAAATATCATTAATCTAAGAATAATCGTTTACGAAATACAAAATTAATGTGTAAAATATTGAATTATAATATTCTAAACCAAGACGAAATTTTTTAGGTCACTTCTAAGTTACATTTTTCATTTTTAGTGTATTTTATAGTCATCGATTTTATTTTATCATATGTTTGATAGACCTTAAAATAATGATTATTTCTCTAAAAGTAGTAGTTACTGAACGTATACTTGTGTATAAATTATTGACTTATAACATTCTAAACCAAAATAATATTTTTTAGGTGACTTATACGTTATATTTTTCATTCTTAGTGTATGTTATACTCATTGTTTTTTATTTTGACATGTTATCAAAGAAATGGTTACAATTTTTTATGTGCACGTATATCATTTTTAAAATGTATGGAATGTACTATAAAATTATTTTTCTTTTAATAGTTGAAAGTATATGAAATACACCCACATATTCTTACAATTATCATATATTTTATAATTATGAACAAGAAACCTTTTTCGAGAAATAAAAAAAAAAAAAAAACTGTATTTATCTTGTAAAGTTGTTCTTAATTTCATACGCGGCAATTCTGGTAAGATCTCTTACTTAATTGAGGAAATAATTCCTACTAATCAATTTTATTTTTTTTTAGAAATGTATCGATAAATTAAGAATTAAATTTAATTAGACAATATGTGATTGGTCATTAAGAATCCTTTTTTTTTTTTTGCACCGTACTGAATTTATCATTAAATATTTAATATAATATCATATTGTCATCCTCAAAGTACAGTTTGTTAACAAATAAAAAAGCCAAGTTGAATGTTATTAATAAGTGTCATAAACTATTCAGTGTGAAAGATTTAAATTATTGTAGGCCAAAGTCAAGTGAGTTCAAGCTGAATCACATGCAATTATGCAAAGCACCGCGTAAATTACAAAAAAATAATTTCGTGAAGTGGTCAAGAAATTTATACGCGATATTATCGAGTGACCACTGACCATTCTCTAACCAATTTATTTTCAAATTAACAATACTATGAGAAGTTTATAAGAACTTCAACAACCATCATTCAATGATCATATCACATTTCATATGGGGAGTTGATATATATGATATATAATTGGAATTCAAACCGTTCATATTTCCCATTTGTACATTGAAATTGACACTTACTAAAAAATGATCGTACTACTGATACATTGATAAACTAGTGGCTTGAATTTGTTCAAAAGTCTGTAGTTGTACTCTGTTTCAGGACAGTCATATGAATATAAAACTTAGCAAAAATAAGTCAATATTTCAGATGGGTCATCATCAAATCTTGACATCTTGACCAGATAAAATATTTTATATGTTCTGCTTGAGGCCACAAAAAATAATTTCCTAAATTAACAGAAAAAAAATGGTGTTAATTAATATCAGAATAACTAGTAAGATTTATTCCACTACACTCCAAACTCAAGTTTGTTAAGTTTGAATCCTTTATCAACCAATTTGTCGCTTTGTGCGTGCGGAGCATGTTGGCCCGAGGGGCCCAATATCGATGATGGATCACGCAAGTTTGAAAATAATTAGGTTATTTCTTTTCTCATGCATCGCATGTTTCGTGGAGAGATTGATTCTTTCTGCAAAATTTATTAAAATAAAGAGAAATATGTTTCCCCCATTGTCTGAAATAAAAAGTGGACAGGATCCACTCAGAAAGAGATAAAAAAAAAAAGTTCGCTTTTTTCTGCAGTAAGTCCTATACGACGTTGTTTTGGGACAGAAATCATGGTGTTTATGTAATTTTAATTTATTTCAGGGTTATAATGGTCTTTATATTTATAATTTTTTAATATTTCAATACCAAAACAACGTCGTTTTGGAAATAAATGAGAATAAATGCAGATAATTTATCTGCAGTAACTGCAGAAACATTTTTCCCAAAAAAAAATTTACTTATTTTTTGTGTGTATATAAAATAATTTTATTTTATGCAACACATAAGATAAATATTTTCCTAAAATCAAATCACTACAGGTGGATTTGATTTTGTTGAAAAAATAAGTATAATATAAGACAATATAAAAATAGAGTAAAGTTTAAGTACCTCTCTTATAATTTATTCCACAATTATTTATCTCCTAATTTTTTTTATCACATATCTTCTATGTCATTTTTTTATTTGAATTCATCTGAACATATAGTTGAAAAGTTGTATCAATTATCTATTTTGCTCCGGTGAATAATAAACTAAAATTGCCCCTCACTCTTTGATTTCATCGTTTAGGAAGAAAATTGACTAGAGCATAGAGTTAATTATGACAAAGGATTCACGGGATTGATGACAGAACTGATGGTCGAATTTGTTCGTGTCACTATGGGAAGTGTTTGTAAATATTTAGCACCATTTTTCTCATTTTTTATACATTATATGCACTTTCATATTGTTGGAATATTCAATATAATGGTTTTATCCTTTATATTTAGGACCATTTTTTGGACTTTTACTAAAAAATTATGCTGATGTGATTTTTTCTCTATAGGATATAAAGGGAAAAAAAATGAGAAAATAATCCCAAATACTTATAAGCGCTTCCCTTTTTTTTTTGGAGTTACCCAACCCTAATTATCTCTTTTAGACGAGTTGGCTCCCTCCGGTATCCCCACGAGCTTCGACTCTTTGAGCCGGCTATGGGACTAATCCGGAGTGCGGGGAACAGTGATGGCTAAAGGTTCAGCCCCCTTCCCAAGAATGCATTCAGCGGGAATCGAACACATATCCAACCCCACTAACTCAGCGCCAAGTTACCAACTGAGCTGCACCCGTTGGGTTATATAAGCGCTTCCCTAATGACGACGATACAGGCAAATTCTACAAATAATTCCGCTAACAACAATTCATGAACTTTTTGCCCTAATCAATCTTTTTTTTCTTTTTTTTTTCTAAACGATAAAGTTAAAGAGTGAAGCAGGATTCTAATGCTTGATTTACTGGTCACTGAGGCAAAATAGATAATTCATTTAATTTTTAACAAAGTTTAGGTGGACTTGATTGGGAAAAACTACAAGAAAAGTAATAAAAACAATTACGTTTAGAAGATTAGTCATTGTAGAGAGAAAAAACCACATAAGAGATATTTCAACTTTAGCAATGAAAATATTTATTGTATTTTTTATCTTAAAAATGGTTATAGAGTAGACCAAAATAAAATATTAAGAACAAGATAAAAATATAAAAATTTGTCACTAAGTAAACCAGGTTTAATGCACAAATT